ATCACTCTGCTGGATTTATGATTAAGGGATTTATCCCCCAAATAAACTCATCAGCACAGTCAAAATTATATGGAAAAAGCCACACAGTACTGTTGGGTTTGGTTTTTAATCCTTCTGCATCAGAGCAGGTGAGAAAGCAGCAATGAAGACACCTATTCCTGGTACTGCAGAGGGAGAACCAATCAATCTAACTCCGGTCTTCTACTGAACATCTGCCTTTAGTAAGCCCAGCCTGCACTGGGTATGCTCTGTAGAGCACAGGCAAAGGCAGCCACCAACTGCAGTCTTTGGGCAGACCTTTGTGTAGATCCCCACCCACAGTAATATAACACAAAGACACATCTCCTAGGAGGAGAAATAAGGGCATCTTTCAGTCTGGTAAAAATCGTGGTGTTTTTTCTTTTGGTTGAAAATGTCTACAAAAGAGTTTAACATTTAATATCAAGCTCAGGTTGCCAGCTCCCTGGACCAGGTGAAGTGATGGTTTTCTTGTACTTGAATGCTTGATCTTACCCACCGCATGTAATGTATGAAGTGCCTTCCTTACATACAGCTGAGGCTCCTTGGCTTTGGTGGGTGCCGTGAGCCTACAGAGTTCCCCAGCTGTTTCTGCCTTGGCTGCTGCCGAGACCTGGCTCCCTCTGAAAACAGCCTTACACAGTTACCACTTGGATTGGGAAGGCACACCTGAAGCCAAAACAGGATACTTTACAGCAGTGAAGTGGCAGTAGTTTAAAATACCCTTTGCTTTCTCAAACTTTAATGTCTACCACCACCAAAATACTCAGAGTATTAATTAGTACTAATCCGAAATCAATTAATTTGTAGGAGAATGGCATGAACTGCTGATTGAAGTCACATGGAGATAAAGAGACAAATGAGATGCTGTAATCAAACTTAACCTCCTTCTGCACTTTGCACTCAGTCTTTAAATCCCATGTGCATGTATTGCACATGTCCTCCAAGTTATTAAGTATCTGACATAGCATCTTGCAGTTCTTAGCAACTGCAGCTGACAACCGTCTGCAAACATGTGTCCCTTCTGTGGTATGCCGTCGCTCTGATGGTCAGGTAGTCCCAAGTATTTTATACAGGACCAGTATTTTATACAGTCTCTCTTTATGGGAGACTTGTGCTGCTGGCAGAAATGACCCGGCTGGCAAAGTCAATGTGTTTTGTAGACAATAAGGAAGAAAAGAGGAAGAACATCACTACCTCCGTTTTAATGTCAAACAGTATCTCCCTCTAAGTCATTGACTCCCTAACAAGCCTCAGGTAGTCCTTGCTGCATATAGCGTCTGATCAGAGTTAACGTCCAGCTGTGTGTCTGAAGAACCGCGAGTCTTCTTTGCTAGATGAAAATTTCAATTACCAAACCCATTAGAAGTAAGTGGCAGCATGCCCAGAGAGCAACAGCACAAGCTGTCACTGTGGTGCCAGTCTGTGTTTGGTGTGGGTGTGAATGAAATTTAGCTCTGCATGTGGATGATGTGTATGTAAGCCGTGCTAGACTAAATCCTCTGCTCCAGGCACTTGTGGGCTGTGGAATTTGAAGTCTGGGTCTTCCCAAATGTCAGGATCTGGTTCACTTTAAAGTCACATTACAGCAGATACAAACTTGTGTCTCTTGAAAAGTATGGAAAGACTTTGAGGCAATTCCTTCTTTATGGGAGCAGCCCTCTTGATGTCTAAATGGTCACTAATGTGAAGGACAATTTGCAGAATCAAAGTAATGAGAGGCTTGCAACAGAGAACTGGTGGTTTTGGAAGATACATGGGTGACAGCAATGCTAGGGTAACAGCAATGCTAGGGTTTATGCAATTACTGATTTGAAGAAAGCAGTTCATCCTGCACACTCAAAGAAGGAAAGGTCCAGCAAAAAAATAGTTACATAAATACATCACTGAAAATTGCATCATGGACCTATTAGGCATGAAGTCATACAGAATTTTTAACTTCCAGACCTTTGGCATTGCAGGCTTTGTATTCTTGAAGCGTGGTTTTCAGTGTGCAGCTGTATATATTTATATTATCACACAGACGGGCACAGATGCACAAAGATACATGCACACGTGCATTTCAGTACATTGGGCTACAAGATGATATACTGTTTAAAAACAGTTTGTATGTGCTACATAGAATCATGATTCTATATAATGCAGAGAGTTTAAGAGCATTCATATACATTCCAAGACTTGTGGTTCTGCAAAACCCTTACAGAAAATGAAGGGCGTACTCAAACTGAACAAAAAACCTTCTAGGAGGGGTTTTGAGCTACAGCAATACATAAAGAAATGCATAAAGAATCCTTTTTTTCCCGATACAGAAAGAAACCAAATGGTTTTTAACTTGCCTTGTCACAAAGTTTGCATCCATAAGCATTCTTGGAGCTGAATTCCTGCTGAAGGAAGTGACACCTGGGCCTAACTTCTTAGGCATTCATCTAGAACAGTTTTAATGTTTCCAACCATTGGGAAAAGCTACTGATCACGTACTTAAAGTCAGTAAAATTCAAAACCCACACTCGGAGAATCACTTGCTATAACTGCATGGCTACACCCAAGCTGTTCCCAGCAGTTCCACTTACGTTTTATAATAGGCATTCAGTATATTCATAAATAACGCCTACCAGCACAAGGTGTATGACTGTTTCCTTGATAAGCAAAAAAATTGTTTGCATTTCGTTTTATATGGCTACATTTAGTTTCCCAGGGCATACGTCCCTTTTTGAGTTTGGGGGTTTGTAAAGACAGTAAAAAAAAAGAGGACTTGGTCCATTTGCCCAAAATCTAAACATCCTGAAGCCCAGTGAGAATAGTGGGTATTTGGTATCACAAAGTCCCAGTCTAAAGGTCACTAGTCATATGCAGGTCATTTAAACAGTGCAGGCAATTAGTTTGCAATTACTATTTTGGGTAATCCTACATGGTATAACTGATGCATCCCTATAGCATCAATCCACAGAAGCAGAAGGCTCTGTGCAGTACAAGTGCAGCTGATCCTGTTGGGAACAGAAGATCCTAAGTACGTTGTTCTTCCCAGTGGATCGCAGATGTGGTTTCATCAGTTTCCCTGATCGGTGTAGTTTAGAAAAGCAGGTTTTACAAAGTCATTCTGGCTAGAATACTGCAGAAGGCCTATGTTGTGTAACACTTGAGCTTTGCACACCCCTATGAACCTATCTTTGCAATATATGCAAAGGAAAAAGGTTTTAAATTCGTGTGTTTGATCCCGGGGTTGACCATTCGCCATCTCTACTGCTGCCTTGCCTGTTCTGTGTCACAGTAGCAACAGTCAACACAGACAATTTTGTTCAGATGCGTTGTTGTGTTTTACTGCACATAATGCATAAAATGTAACCTGATAATGCACAAAAGGGATTTGGCATCTTCCCTTTGCAGCTCGGTGTTATTGTTATGGGCCATCCAAAATATGAGTCAGCCTGCAAGGATATGGCAGTGCAACACACCAAGCAGTCAGAAGCGGTGTGGGCTGCGATGGCTCAGCTTGGCTCTGCCTGCAGATGTGCTGGTCTCCCTGCAGATGTGCTCTCCTGCTGGTGATGGCTGTGACTCTCGCCTTTCGCTCATCCTCCTCTTTCAAAAGGACAAGCTGTTCAGAACTGGCATTTGTACCACTCAGACCAATCGATACCCCATTGTACAGGAGTAGGTTAAATTTATGTGGCATGTGGTTTCATTCAGCTGATCTGGACTCCGCTGCAAAAGCCAGGCACACCCTGGCCTGATGGGAATCACAAATCCCCTTCTCAGCCAAAGACACTCAGGCAAACATAAAACAGACAGGGAACCAAAAGGCTGATGGACTCTTCCTTTCAAAGCTCCTGAGACCCTTAATCCCCATGTATCCTTTTTCCACACACTGCTTTACATGCCTGATTAAAACCCAAGTGATTGAAATTTGAAATTAGTGGGAGGGGAATGTCCACGCACCAAGATCAGGATGCCCATTCCTGTCACACATGAAGTTACTTGTACAGAAACAGCGAAATGAGATCTTAGAAGGCTCTTGAAATGATAAATCTACAGAAAGCAGAAGGGACAAGGCCAGCAAAAAAGTCCAGAGAAAAACTGGCTGCACAGATAAGACAAAAGGAGAAAGAAATGGAGAGCCTTTGAGGCATAAAGTGGTTAGAAAATTTCCCAACTTGGGGAGGTCTGCTCTGCCAGGGCTTCAAGATAGCTGCGGAGAATCTGGTGGAGTGTGTTTAACACGGACATTGTTCTACCAGTGAGACCCAGTGTTGCAATGCTATTCTCTTCAGAACAGTCAAGATCACCAGAAAAAAAGGGATTTTTATAGTGACAGTACACAGGCAATTTCCCATGTCCACAAACTGCGGCTGGAGACTGCATGCTGGGTAGAGCCGTTTCCTCCAGTGTTGCAAGGGGCACAGCTCATCGTATGTCACAAAGTCATGACCCCCCTCCACTCCCATAGGGACAGGACTCACATCTGGGTCTCACCAGGAACATGCTCTGTAGGACAGTCTTGCTGGCCTTTGCACAGCATGGCTTTCCAGGCACATTACTCCATAAGATGCGATCCCGACATTGACTCAACACTGGCTGCGCATCTGGGATTCAGCCACTCATTAGCAGCATTTAAGTCACATTTACTTGGAAAAAAGGCACGAGAGAGACAAATGAAACAGCTGGCTGTAAATGCTGCTGCTCTATCTCCACTTACCTGACCTGTGAGGTCCTGGGGTAACTGGGAAACCCTGTGATTGACAGTCCCTCACCTTCCCCTTGCGGGTAACCCCAGCGATACCCCTCAGCGTTGCAGGCACGTAGTACAGCTGAGGCCCTCAATAGGGTTGTTCCAGTCATGTGGGTGGGCAACAAATGGGACCTCAAGGTCTCAGGGAAAAGCCACAGAGCCTCTCAGCCAACCTACCTGCCCTCTGGTGCTGGGCACGCAGGAGAGGACACTGAGCAAGACACACCAAAGGTCACTGAAATGAAGACACAGCACAGGATTTTTAAATAATTTTATAATTTCCTGATGAACTTAGTCTGTGAATAAAAAAAGAAGAAAAAAATGAACAAAGTGTTTATATTATCAAGGCAAAGTTGAATATAACACATTTTCTTTGCAATTTCATTATCCTGTCAGTAACATGACTCCAGCAATAAAACACATACAAGTTGAAGGCAGCGTGCGCACTTGCATCACAGACATCAATGTCTCCCGCTGCTGTTATTTCCAAAAGGAATTCAAGTACGCTAGATCCCTTCCCCAAAGCCCGTCTCCCCCTCCGCTAAAGTGCAACACGTCTCTTCCAAAGCAAATGAGGGATCCGTGTCTGTGGAGAGGACGGAGCATCCCACAGATTTTTAACCCCACAAACAATTTGTGAGCCTGGTGTGCAGCTCTTGCCATTTACTGACTTGGAGGGAAACGGCAGTATACTGTTTTAGTGGGCTTGGAGCAGCATGTTGGGCTAGCACAGAAATTATTCCCCTGTTCATGGTCCCGTTTGATTCATCCTCCTTCAGCATCTGAACAGATAAAGGCATCTGCACAGATAAAGGCATCTGCCACTAAAGCACCCCAGATATACTGTAACGAGCATGTCAGTAAGGGCCAAATGCAGCCACCCCTGGGCAGGCAGGGACGACAGAGACTTGTCCATGTCACCAGAGAGCTGGGAAGATGGGCTAGGTTAAAGGAACAACGTCTACTCGTAAAATCTGGCTTTTAGATAACCACATAATAGTACATGAGTGACAGATCCATCTCTTGATGGTTTCCAAATGGAAAACCAATGTTTTGAACAAAAAGCCCCACCAAAGCACTGAGAACCTGAAGTGGAAATATCTACTTAAAAGCAAAAGGGATTAACTTGATTTCCAAGATCCAAAGTAGAAGTGCAAAATGGGGACAAATAGCATACGATAAATTGATATAAAAAATACATTCATTTAATGAAATCCTTTACCTAGTCTCATAGGTGAAGCAATTTGTGTGGGTTTTTTTGTCTATGTTACATGCCGGTTTAACCTCACATTGTTCCTTTGATGCAACTGCAGCAGAAGGTGGCTGCTAGTCCTTCTCTGTACCATAACCTGCTGTAGCTATGTGACCAATACCAGAAATACAACTTTGAAAATGGACCTACACACAACTACCTGCACTGGCACATGGCCCTGGGATCCACGGGCACGACTGAGAAGACAGGGAAAATCTGGCCAAAGCCATTTGTCCCATTTACATCAGTGGAGCCCTGGTGTTGATAACCATTACCAGAAAAGACTGATTTCCAAAATACTGTTTCATCTGCCCATTTCTGTATTACACGTGTACAGTATAAACCTGGGGGAGCAGGAATTTTTACAGGGTTTGTAACATTTCCTAAGAGGCCAAGCTGCCTTGGACCTCAAAAGCCTGTGAAAGGCAACTGGTTATGATTATAAGCCCACAAATCCTTTTCTGTACAATCCCGAAAGGAGGAGTCATAGCTTTGTCGCTTCTTTACTTGAATTCCTTTTGATGAAATTGAATTTTTATATATTTTTTTAAAACACATCTTTTTCAGTTCTACTACTACCTTTTTTGTTTAATCCGACAACAGACACACATTGTTGGTAACTGCCCCAGCCTTAGGACCACACAGACAATATCGACAAGCAGAAAACAAGACAGGAAAAAACACCCCTGAAAAAGTCAGGAGAGATATTGATGACAGGGTTACAGCACTCACCACACACACTGGAAAAAGTCAGGGTTTCTGTGTTTATGCTTTTGACACTAAAAAGTTTTGAAACAGTTTTTCTTGGTTTTTTTTTAAAAACAGTCAGCGGACACAGCCATTTTGTTCAGAAGGATTTGCTGTTGCGTAAGTTTCCTTCCATTCATGTGGAAAAAACAATTAAAAACATTGTATTGTTTAAAAACCCCCTGACTCTCCTTTTCCTTGCCACGATGACAAGAGGGGTTAGCAGAGTTGGCCTTGCCAGGCGTGATGCCCCGTGCCTGACCCTCCCACCCCACCAGCTTCGCTGGGGCAGTGTTAGTTGTCCATAGCCTTCTGTGTCCTCTCCGGTTCCCTCCTTCAATGCGGGCGTCGAGCTGAGTAGAGACTTCCTTTAAGTATCAGATGCCTTGATTGTACTCCTTCCCTTCTCCATTTCAGTGGAGTCATTTGACGAATACGTGCATTACTTATGTGGTGAAATTTTTGCTTTAAAACGGTATCAGTGTGTGACTCTCTACATCCTCTGTAATAAAGACCCCTTCAGTGGCAACGATTGGCAATTAGGACAGGAATGGGGACTCAACCCTGTCAACTTTTATCAAATGTAGAAATTCCCTAAACAAATCGAGCACTAGCAGCAGAATGGGTGGGAACTACAGGGCAAATGAAAAGAGGTGCCCCTTTGGTTCACAAAACCAGGGTTACCTCTACAAGATTTATGACATAAATGCTCCCTTGTGCAAAATACCGAGAGCCCCAAAGTCCAGAAAATTTGCAAGAGAAGGGATATTCCAGCTGTGCAACCAGAAACAGCACGCACAGTTTTGTGCATCACATCAGACCTTCACCTTCTGTCCCCTGGACTTGGCAAAAATCAGATACTCCAAAGAGTGTTTGGCATTTTCTAGAGGGAAAGCTGGTTAAAGGCAGTCAAAATGAGAGCAAATACTAGAAGCCTAGAGCTTCCTTTGGGAGAATGCCAGGCAATTCTTCTTCCAATCACAAACAGTGTTCATGTCCTCACCCTGCAATTCTAGTGTTGTAATGTCCTTTTAGTGTTTTACATGAGGCTGGATTCAGAGGAAAATATGTACTTGGACTCAGGGATGTCATGAAGAAGCATGGCTGGGGTGTCAGCTTTTACACTGTACGTGGGCTTCAGGCTTGAGTTATATTTTAGCCCAAACCCAGCTAAAATAACCTATTTAATTTTCTATAGACAGCTCCTTACATCTCTCAGTTTCTGTACAAATGACAGCTTGAAAGAAAAAAAAAACAACACACATTAAAGCAATTAAAACTTTCACAGCTCCAGCAGCAAATGGAACTTCATTCAACAGGAGAAGAAAAAAGCAAGTTTCCCCAGGCTCCCTGGGAAGGGCCCCTGATTTCCCAGAGCCGCTGTGTTGCAGGACTGCTGTGCTAGGAAACTGTCTATTTTTTGCCTGGCTGCTGACACTTGGGTATCAGACTTTAAGAGAGTGGTGGGTTAGGCAACTGGATGAACACTGCAGTATGTGCACACATACGGCCCTTCTGCCATATGCTTGATATGCAATTTTGTGATGGGTTATGGTAACAAAATCCGTTCATTGCCCTAAGGCCAATGGTGTGGAACTCCACATAAGTGAAAAGAAAAAGCTTTCACTGGTCATGTTCAGCATTAAACCATGGCCAGCAGTAACTCCCAAATCACCTAGATCCTTAAGCTATTCACCATCACAAGATCTCTGTCGACACAGGATCAGAGAGATTACCTGAAATAGTTCAATGGAGATCAAGTTGGATCAAGCCTGTTCCTAAATGAGATCTGCTCTCTCCCTGAAAGCACTTTATTGAGGTCTAAGATCAATGTTTAAGATGGGAAGCCTGGAAGACCTGGAAGATAACAGTGGTTAACGAGAAAAACTGCAAAGGCCTAACAATGCAGATGGGAGGAACAGCAGGTGTGTGCCTGGGAGATAAAAGACCACATGGCCAGCATGAAAAGTAGCCAGGCTTGACAAATCCTCTCAGGGAAGAGGCCAGGAGATATGTAAACAGTGAGATTCACCTAGCTGCTGATGCATGGATCCCGCACACGCTGCCAGGACAGCACCATGCCTTTGGCTGGGGCACTTTCAACTCCAGAAATGCAGCCACAGGCTGAGTTTAAGATGCAGAAGATTCAGCACTTTCCTGTGATGTGTGGGCAATGCAGTAAATGAAGGGAATTGAAATGACAGCCCAAAGTGACCACCCCTCGCTCCCATCCCCTCCCCCTGCTTGCAGCAGAGACGCTATCAAGGAACATCTCAGTAAGAGGTTTACAAGCAGGAGTCATTTGAACCATTGATAAGGGAAATTCCACAGCTTCTCACAGAGAAGGGATTGTTTTACAGCAGGGAACCATGGCAGCTGGAGATTTGACCATATAAGTTAATGAGATAGTCAGGAGTGGTGGCGGTGGCGCGATGATATTAGGCTGATGGCTCTGATGCTTTTACAGGCAGCATTAAATTCCTTAAGTGAGTAATTAGGGGTGATGAAGAAAAAGCAAGAGGAAAGATTTCAAAACAACAGCTGCTATCAAAACGTGCTGACTCAAATAATGGGACCAAAGGGGTGGTTCTGGGATGAGACATGGCTCAGTGGTATGTACAGTCACTGTCTGCACGCCTTCCGGTGTTTCCCCCTTGCACACACTCAAGTTCTCATTACTCTCCTCATCCATGACAACAAAAGCTTCAGACACAGGCTGCTACTACAGCAAGAACTAAAGCTACATTTCCTGATTTGCAAAGCACCGGCAGTTCAAAACATGGAAAGGTGTGAATCACATCTTCTTTGGAGACTTACATATTTCTTCCTAGTGGACACCATGGTTATGGATTCAGTTCCTTCTGCTGAATCATTACAGTAGAATGAATTGGGATGTGATTTATTTTAAATCAGTTAATAGAGTCTCAGGTATATAAGGTTTCAGTTTTGCACATTTTTCAGTGCTTGTCTGAAAAAAAGACAGGGTACATCTTCCTTTACTCAACTTCTGCTGATCTCCTTTCTGTTAGAAGCAATTGGTCACTTCTAAAGATAAAAACAGGGTGTGAAAGACCTACAGGAGAGCTGTGCTATGGATTTGAAAGACGTAAGAAATGCAACTTTCCTGAGAGGGCTTGAACATTTTCATTACCATAACAGTTTAGTGATTAAGGTCAAAATGTAGTAAGTCATACTGAATTAAACTGCAGGCTCTGAATGAGAGCTTTACTGAGAGGATTCATAATCAGCTAGTCACTAGAAACCCAAGATTTATTCCACTGCTCTGTTGATATTTGGTCTCCTTTTGCCCTTCTCTCATTCTCTTAAGTAATACGAGAAAGCTAAAGGGGAACAACTCCTTTAAGGAGCACACGGGGATGTGTTAAAGGGTTCTGTCCTGCAGATGCCCCCAGACACACATAACCACTGGTAGCCAAGAAAAAAACGTGTCTCCCCATTAGTGCATAGTCCAAGAATGAACACCCAAATCCTACTCATTAAATAGGATCCTGACTTGTCACCACAATGACAAACTGACCTGCTATTTCAGGTCATATTACCTATCAGCAGGGGCTTTAAAGAGTGTCAAAGATGGATGGGAACAAGACTAAGGCCTCTCATACACATATAAGAATTGCACTGGTTTAACTAAAGCTCTGATTTTATACCTACCTACTCAGCTGGGTGACAACTCCAGCAGAGATGCTCTTCTTTGTAAAAATGGGTTATTGCTCTGAACTCAAGCTCACTCCTTGTCAACCTAAGCTAAACCAAAATAAATTAAATTATAATTATAGTAAGAACTGTTACCAATTTAACTAACTTTAGCTTTAAAATTGTACTTTTAAGCTAAATGATGTGATTTCCTCATCTGCAAAATGGCTAAGACTATTCTGATGGAAGCTAGTGTTCACAAAGCTATGACCTGAAAAATTGGCAATGGAAAAAACTATACAAGTTAAAGCTGGGAGCTGACCTGCTGACCACACTTGCTCAAAGGGAGAGAGCTCTCTATAAAATAAGAACTTAGGAGACAGACCTATGATGAGAAACCTCAGCTAAAAACACCAAGAAATCAACAGATTAAAACATCTACCTGAAAAAATGCCCCACTCAGCACTTCAGAGTCAGATCAGCAAATAGTAAAAATCAAAATTAAGTACACAGAAAGTACCAGTAAGCCTACCTTGTTTTCCAGCTGCTAGATGAAGTGACTAACAGGAACAAATAGTGAAACTTTCCTTTCCTCTCTCTCTTATTTAAGAATATAGAAAGGCTAAGATAGGCAGTGAGACCTGAGCTAGCTAGCTGATGCTGGCCAGTCATAAACCATAATCAGAGCACACTCAGGTTTGATTTTAGCACTATGAAATTCAGACTTTCAGCTTTTATGGGAAGAAAAAAAAAAGAAAGAAAGGAGGAGAGGAATCGAGAGAGAGAGAGAAAGAAGCAATAAATGAATAAAAGGCAAGGGCTACCCTTCTGCAACCTCATGGAGAATTAGAGCTGCTTGTGTTCAGTGGATCCCCTCTTCTTTGCTCAGTAGACTTGGAAGAGCTCTGCTTAGCTGTATCCAAAAGTCACCATCAACAAAGTCAATGGGGAACTGGATTCTAAAGTAGAAAGGCAGTGAGAAGATGAATGCAAACATGACTGATTAATCATAAAGTGGAAGAACCTGGAAAGCATGTAGTTTTTAGAGAGTTGGTTGTTGTTTTCTTTTCTTCTGTTTTCTTTGTAAAAGGTGCACCAGAAGTTTCTATTCCATTTTCTGTCTTTCACATTTCGTCTCCACTCTCATGGCTCCTTGGACTGACTGGGCTTGGCCACTGGTGTGCTGCTCTGGTGGGGCTAGTGGCCGAGGTCATGATGACTCCTCAAGTGCATTGACAACTTGCTCCAGGATGTCAGGGCAGTGATCCGCTATCTGTTGTAAGATGGCATTGGCAAATTCCTGTAGCTCTGCGCTTTCCTTCTCGCCCTTTTCTAATTCATCATGAAGCTGCAAGAAACACAGAGGCATGGTCATTCTCTACTATTAAATGTGTTCACTGTATAATGAACCCTGCCCAGCAGGCTCAGCTCTAAGCTAGGACACCTTTTAGAAAGGGAGTTAGTAGAGATGTAACATGCTTGCCACTTCCAGGATCAGCATCTTCCCTTGGTGATTCTCTTACCAGAAACTGGTTTCCTCTTTATTTCACTTTTTCATTCTACAGGCCCAGGTTTGTGATCTCCCAGTTAAGGCAAATAAAATTATGAATAAATTGTTCTATGATAAATATTAGAAAAACTTCCTCTGCAAAATGTTTTTCTGAATGCAATTCCAGAAGCAATACAGCATTTCCCTAGTATATTACTTTAAATAGCTTGGCTTTCATTCTTGAAGAACAGGATGTTTTATAGGTCATTACTTCAGAATTATTTCCTATATAAAACCAATAGGAATGTTACATAATTATACATAATAGACCGAAGAGTTAAGCAGAATTCCGATTTCGCTGTGGAATTAATAATTTTCAGAGACAGTGTTTCCTAACTCAGTAAGAAGATGACTATCCACAATTGTGGTGGAACACGCATGATTTTTGTTTACTAACTCTGTGTTTCCTGCTGGATCACTCATTGTTCAGATTACTGCAACTGGCTCAGAACAGGACATGGAACTTCAAAACAATCTTAATCACTCTGTCTACAAACTGGTTTTCCAACATGTGGTGTTACAAACCATGCCACACAACATATTGAAATATATGTGAACATAGTTTTTAGCTCTGAGCCTAATGCCATTGCCAGAATTAGGGGCCCACAGAGTCTTAATGAAGAGCAGGAAACATCTGCCTTCAGCAACCGATAAAGTCCATGCTAGCCTGTGAATTGTGCAGAATCCCAAGTAAGGCTGTAATTTGTACAAGCATTTCAGGGATTACTGTACTCAGAGTGGTCTCAGGATCTAGCAGAACAAGGACAGCAATATCTCTTACTAGACTGGATGAGACATGTAGGTAGACCAGATAAACTTCCAAGCAGATTGCTCTATCAAATACTATATATCTCAAAAAACCTTTTTTTTTTTTTTCAGTGGTATGATTTTCTTCTAATAAAGTATATTGCCTATGAATATGAGTGTATTTGTAACATGGTACATACACTTGGATTCTGAAGTTTACTGCAAGCTTCTGCAACCTTTGTCAGTATGAGCAGCTGTAGCAACTCTCTTATTTATACTGGAACCCCCTTTCAATTTTTTTCCCCTAATATTATCTGTCAGTTTGGTAACATTTTGTATTCCTAAGTGATTAATATTTTTATTGGAACTCTACTGTGTTAATACATGACATGGAAAGAATGTAAAATTGGAGGTTTTTTTTTTAATCCCTGAAGGGATAACTGGTAATCAGTACATACATTTCTTGATCTGTACTTTGCACTTCTGTAATACTACTCATTATGGGTTTTAAAAAGAGAATTGTTGGGCAGCAGGACAAGAGGGATCATTTTACCACCGTAAGAGCAGAAGGCAGTGGGAAAGGCTGTATTTCTACAAAAAATTTCTAATCAGATACAACAGTATGTATCTTTTCAGTGATGGTACCAAGCAAAGCACAGGAGATTGTTACTGGAAGAAATACTGCATAAACCCAAACAGCCTAAGAGTGACTACAGAATAAATATAAACTCTTTGTAAGGAAGTTACGGTATAGACTACTGTAGACAAAAGTGTCTAAGAGTGACTACAGAATAAATATAAACTCTTTGTAAGGAAGTTACGGTATAGACTACTGTAGACAAAAGTGAGAGAAAGGAAATTAAAAGGGTGAGCTTGCTACACTATTCCCTTTACTAGGCAGCGTAGCATATAGTAAATTATTTGGGCTTTGTGTGCTGAATGTTAGTTTAATGTGTTCTTATGTGCTTTGTTCCTACTGGCTGCTATACTCACATAACAGCTATACGAATCCGAGAGGGGCTCATGCCAAGAATCACAATGCAAAAGCAACCTGATCCTGCTCTGTGGAGTGACATGAGCTGGGGAAGTGGGGAAAACGAGAGGGAGGGGAGCACTCCGGGCTCTGTAAGGGCTCTCAGGGGAGAAGAGGGAATTCAGCAGTAACCCATAATGGCTCAGAAACGGCATGCTGTGGATAGGTGATTAGCCTGGTTCTAACAGCCTGGCAGAGTTATTAGTCGGAAACTTGCAATGGATGGATAAGCCTAGGAGAGGTCCAGTCAGCAAGCAGGATTGAAAGAGTCAGCACAGCCAGCTAGGAGCAGTGCTGAATGTTAAAAGCCAGGAGAATGGGTTTCAGGGACTACTTCTGAGTCTCAAGTTCTTCAGCCTAGTAAAACCCCAGCAATTCAAGCAGCCCCAGATACAGCAGCCTGCAAAACACCTAAGTGCTGGGAAATTCATGGGACTGGCTTGAACGCTGAACTCTGATGAGACAGGGCTGCCTTGGGTTCTTGGGCCAATGCAAAGCTTTCACAGTGCCATCCACCAGAAGGGAGGTCAGGAGAGACAGCAAGTAATGGGAGAAGAAGCCAGCGATGTAGTTCTCCTTTTCCTCATGCGGTCCTCAGGAGGAGAACCAGGAGAGGGCAGTGTTAGCAGGGAAAGCAGGGACCTGCTCCTGCGCCACCACCTGTCCATGCAGCATCTTTCCTCCCAGCCTTTCAGCCAAGTCCTCCAGGTGAAGCTCCAGGAAAGGACAAAGCAATTAAATAATCAAATATAAAAGCAACTCAAAGAGGTTAACCTTCAAAACTGAAGGGAGGTTGGTGGACAGGGGAGAATCCTGCTGAATGCTGTCTTCAGTGGGGCAGTACTGCAAACTCAGTGATGTTTCAGCTTCCTGCTCTACTAGTCAGCATTTATGTATTTGTAAGATTCCTTATAAAATCAAGGTAAGCCCAACAAAACAAGCCCATGCCAGAGCTAAAATAAATCAAATGCAATCAAACAAAAGTAACCAGCTCAACCAGATGAAGAAACTATTTCCAAGAAATACGTTTTTGACCATCAAGAACTCCAAAAGGAGACGGCTCTGAATGCTGAAGGCCAGCAATAATACTTTGCAAATTAGCGCAGCCAGAAAGTCTACACAGCTGGCTGGCAGATGTCTGTGATGAAACATCTCTGAAAAAAGTAGCAATGATAGCTTTGCGTTGAGTTTGCTCGCTTCAGAACACTGAGGTTTAATAATGTGATTTCTACTTAAACAAAGACATCTTCATTGACTATGTGGCTGGCTGTAGCATTTCTATATCATGTATGTCATCTCCGTTTACGTCATTCCTTTCAGAAACAGCTGTGAGCAGCATACGTCACTCCTCATTCAGACAGGCTCCTTAATGGAGAACATCCAGTTCTCCACGGTATAACTTGATTCACCTAGATGTTTGACAGCCCTAATTTTAGGGAAGTTTCTCTGATGGTACTAGTATCAATTCTGCTCTGGTTTCCTACATTTTCTTCTTGTGAATGCAAGCAGTAATGGTGTTATCTTCCCCAGGCCATTTTTCTATGAAAATAAAAGAGTGTTAACAGGCCTTTTTTTGCTGGCATTTTCAGCTGAGATGATGAGGAGATTCACACACTTGCCTCACTGAAATGACCAAAAAAGAGAAGGCAAGGCCAGATATGTTTGCCTAGTGGGTGACAAGTAAAAATAGACAGCTCAGAAAGGAGAATAAGGACCTCATAAGTGCTTCACAGTATTTTTACTTTATCTTTGGATAGAAGAACAGAAAGGATCTTAGAATCTCAGGGGAATAGAAGCTTGCAGATAATCTGCAACAGATTCAGACACTTTTCACCACTGCTGCCTTCCTTTCTGAGTTTAGAGCAAGTCATGACAGGAATACTTTTCCATTTATAGCTAAACTCCACCAGTGAAAAAAAAAGCCCCAAACAATTCAACATGAATTTAGCTTGCATTGTGCTTCTCTGGTCCAAGATATTCCAGAACTTAAGGATAAACTGACATTCAGAGGGAAGATAACTTCACAGTTAGGAAATAGGATGCTATGGTTTTAAATGCAGACTAGGTGAACTGTGGTGTTGCCCCACAGAACCTTTGCAGCCTTTGCTTATTCGACAAGGTAAGCAAGGCAACATTAAGCTAAGATCCTTTAAAATTTATTTATACAGAGGAGGCTTACTCCCCAGTGTTATTTTCCTCTGGTAACAATTCCACAAAAAAAAAAAAACCAAACCAAAAAAACCTATCGAAGAAAGGGAAATAAAAATAAAGTAGTATCTCATCTCTGGCTATGGACAGTAAAACTGATTATACAATAGGAGGTACTTGCAGAGCAGCACAAGAAGAAAGTTAATGCAGGTCATCTATATGGCTACAATACTGAGATCCGGAATTACGTTTCTCAAAATTTAGATGTTTCTGGATCAGGCTGAAAATACATTTAGAGGTTAAACTAAGAGAAATAAGCACCAAAAAGGAATGGAACTGATTTAATTTTAACCTTTGTTTTGTTTCAAAATAAGAAACTACACTGAATTGCTATATCTCAGGCAAATGGTCAAGAGCGTTTGCATCTTCTCAGACCAACCAGTGTAAATATGTATGTTTGAAGTAGTGAGAGCCAATTACATGCAAAAATTTCTCAACTCCAGACCTATAAAAAGGCCAAAAGAAAGGTTCAGAATACGGAAATCCCAGTCTGCCAAACTTTAAAAAAAGGAAAAGAAAAAAAGTGATCATTTCTGTGTAGACCCTTTAAATATTTGTGCTTTATCTGGAAATCTTGTTTTTATATTAGCTTTTTCAAAATATTTTAAACACACACATTTAAAAATTAAAGTAAGATTTCAAATTCAACTTTGTCTTGTCTTTTAAAATCATGTAAACTTTAAAAATATGTTTTAAATATGTTTAAATGCATTTGAATAAATTTTACAACCATTTTGACAAAAAAAAACCTGAACGAATTTGTTTAGGGCTCTTGCATCATACATTTGAAATAACTTTGCACATGGGATTT